GAAGCTACCTCCGTGTGACCTCTAAACTGTTAGCAACTTCTAGGCCCAAAACCGATAGTCTTTTTCATCCTATTTGGTTTCTTAAATATCCAGAGGATTTTAAGACTACCCGTAACGTTTAACTAACCCATTAACGCGCATCTGTTGCAACAGGTCTGGATATTAATGGCAATATCTTCAGTATCATTTACGATGCATTATCTAGCGGACGATAAATTGCCCAAGTCATGTCGCTAACTAAGACAAGACAAACGTCCCTCCTAGCAGTAACTACACTCAGAAGTTTAAAAGCTTTAGCTGCGATCCCACAAACTTACGGACACCATTATGCTTATAACAAGATGAAAGACCGGCGGAAACGAACGGTGTTGCAAAGTTCGTAAAAGTCTCCAAAAATACTTACTGTTTAATCTTCGCTATAACCGAATCCCTCTTCAAACACTTCAGATTCTCCTGAACGACCGACGAAACGGTTCCCGCCTTCAACTGGTTTTCTAGCCACACTGCCACGTGTTGGTCATTATCCCATAACCGAGGTTTCTGAAACAAAAGGGACACTGGATAAGAGTCATTTGAGTCTGTTGCTGCATTCAAGACGACGAAGGATGTTGATTGATTAACGACGAAGAAAGCATGATTGATCGTAATTAACGTTGCCGAACACAAAAGCATTTAATAGTAATACTCATACACATAATCATTAAACTAGTTGCGCTGATATACACAGAATAATGCATCTATCAATCATAACAATAGCAACAACAACGGGGGTTACACTGATTATTACACCGCACAGAAAGCTATCAGGTAAATCAAGGTGATTGAACTGCAAACATAAGATGCACTCGATATATAGGGTACTACCACTGGCATAAATAGCATAGTGTACATGGATTGATACGTACAAGCAGTGCTGAGATACACACATGAAACTACTACCTACTTTTATACATATGGTATCTGTTTGTATATATTACACATTCTGTACATACACCAGCAGTGCTAGGATAATGTATACCTATGTTATGCGTACACTATATACATATGTATAGGACTACCCTAAGGAATATATGAAAGTAATACAAGTATAATAATATACATTGTCATCAGTAGTACACCAAAAATGAGATATTTACTGAACAGGAAGTAGGACGGTGTTCCTTTATCAACATGGCAGCAATGTAATTTTGTTGTAATTTTTAATTGTCACGCCGATAAAGGAGCATCGTTCTATGGTTATAAAAAGGTTCATGTCAAGCAAATATTTTATTTTCAGGTATACTACGGTTAAATATATATGGCATATCTATATAACCCTTAACCAGTGCCTTTTCGAGCTTCATTGCGGTGAAAGGGACGCGTTCGAACATTTGCTGACGTATGCGAACCTGTTCATCTTCTTACAGTATTATAATCTAAGTCTGAGCCTACGGCGTATACCAATATGCAGCAGAAGACGGATACGGCTAGGCTTAGGAAAAGG